ACAGATGAAGGGTATTTTTACGTACTTATATTTTTACTAGAGATCTGCCATTTTAAATTTTCAACCAATTTTCTCTCTTCAATACGATAATTCTTTCAAAAATAATGTCTTTGTGACAGTCATATTTTAAAACTCATAAAAATGGGAGAAAAACATGCTTTAACTTAATTGCCTTTGAGATATTCCTCATAAAATAATAAAAATTAATTTACTTTTGATCTGTTATTAATCTGTGGGCATTCTAAATATGAGACATTGGTTAAAAATCTTGAAGTAAAAACTAACAGGGGGAAGCTTTTTATTAATTATGGATAATTAATAACTTTTAGAATTTTAAATTCTGGACTCCAACAGCTATATAAACAGAGTGTTTGTTTTATTAAAAAGAATGAATGCATTTGTATTATGCATTTGTATTAATGCATATGTATGCATATTTGATCCACAGACATATAAGTTTTTCATTCTAAATAACTAAAAGGTTTAAATAACTACCTTACCCAACAATGGGTTTCTTGAAACCAAGCAAGGATCTTTTCTTGTCAATTTCTTCTTGAACTTGAGGCGCATAACGAAATAAATATTTAGCAAACTGCCCAATCCACCACACAAATGGATGCCCATGAATTTGTTCTATTCGGCTTGCTAAGTCTTTTGGAACTGCTAAAGGCATATACTTAGGTCTCGGGAAAAGGCTATCTACAATTGGCAATAAAACATTCTGTTCATTTTTAGAGGCATCACCACTCCATCCGGCTACATGCCCCTGATGGCTTATACAGGTTTCACTAACTGGCTTAAAAATGCCTGTCCAGCCATTTGATGAATATCTCCAGCCACTCGAGTCCACTATCAGAGTTCTTTCGAGGCCATAAGCAACAATGAAACAGTACATTAGATGATGTACCTGGCAACCGTAGCCACAGCCTTTGTTTAACTGACATACGAGCTTCTTTGCCGTATTGCAATCTTTTGGGTGCTGCAAGTAACGAAGCCTTCTTTGAACAAGATCGCTAAGGAATTTATGTTCTTTTTCAGCCCAATCTTGTTGGCCATCCATCGTTTTCAAATTTTCAAAGTTGTGTGATAGTAAGTGGTGCATGTCTTCCACCGTTCCCATAATTTGGCGAAGTTTCGATTGCACTTTATCGCTAGCGATCTTGTTTACCTTGGTTATTTCTGAACTTACAAAATACCATAATTCTTTCAATGTTTTCTCTGCTCTTCTCCTTGTGATTAAAAATTCCCTGCTAGGTGGCCTAAATTCATTAGAGATCGCCGGACTCTCCTTCGACCCTTCGTC